ATTCACTCATAATAATGTCCCAATAGTAGTCGGATCCAATGAGCACATCAATTGAATCGTGGTTGTCGTTATCAAAGTCTTCAGCTAGGTCTAAGTCCTGAATGTGTGGGTAATCATCGATGTTTACCGTGGAAGGTAAGGCTGAACATATTACAGGGAAGGTCAATGCAGAAATTTCAATAATTTCAGGATTTCCAGGTTTCTGAAGGCGTAAATTAACCAGATCACAACTTTGATTCTTGCACCGATTCTCTCCGAAGGTGTTGAGTGTGAGTTTCTCACGTTGAACATGTTTCAGTTTTAATTTGGAACGCAAGTCCTCAGTCACATATGATCGTTGACTTCCTGTGTCCAGAAGAATTCGTACTGGAACTGAATGTCTCCCAGTTTCATCCAGAGCTACTGCCCGTGCAGTTTGCAAAAGAACACTATTTCGCTTTCTTCGATTCTCTTAACTCGTTGCAGTTGTAACCTTGGTTTTCACGTCGTCGTCTTGTTTCGATTTCTCTTTAGTTTCGTCGAATCCCTTTACATGCACTGTGTCACATATCGACTGGTGATGACGTTTACCACAGTGTCTACAATTTTTTTGACTTGAGCATTCCTTCACTTGATGACCCTTTCGAAGGCAATTGTAACATCGTCTGTCCTTTGCAAGAATTTGCTTTCGACTTTCGTAGGATTGTACAACATCACAGGAAGCAGAATAATGTAGATTATTGCAGAAAGCACAACGAATCTTGAAGTCCTCTTGTATCTTTGTGAAAAGTGCACTAGCTCCGAGTGGTGCCTGGGTTTTGTTATTATTGGAAAACTTACGATTGTCAACTGCACTTGCCCTGGCCCCTTCACTCGATTCTCTCGCTTCGATTTCAGTTTTAACAGCCTCGAGAAGTTCATCTATTTTCCATATTTCACTACTGTTCTTACGAGCGATTTGCAATCTTACGTCACTAGGAAGTTTAGACATAACAATAGGAATTAATAAGCTTCCATATTGCTCAGATTGTACCCCAAGTGAAGCCAAACCTCGCACGTTTACACTGATTTTATCGTATACATATCGTAGTGATGAAAGTCGACCATCTGTGCTCGCTTGAATTTTTAACATTTCGTCAACATGAGCTGAAATAATAATTTGTGGCTTGCCAAAACGTTCCTTTACCAATTCGATAGCTGAGGTGTAGTTTGAACTTGAAAGTGTTAATCCTTGAATGGCCCTTGCAGCCGTACCCTCGAGATGAGCATTTAAATAGTTAAATTTATCGATTGCGGGTATACTTTCGTTCGAATGAATCGCGCTATTAAATGAGTCCCAAAAAGTTGTCCATTTCGTAACATCGCCCTTGAATTTCGGTAAAGTTAACTTTGGCAAACGCGGTTTAACGACATTATCTTGAGCTGAATTCGTTCGAACATAAACGGGAGATTGTTGTACATTGCTAACGACTTGTTTTGAGTCTTTAATTTTCTTTCGACACGCTATAATTCTCGCTACAATCGCTTCTGAATCTTCGATTTCTTTGCTAATTTCGTTTAATTTACACAGAGAAGTAATTTCGTTATCGAGATCGTTTAAAGTCTTTTGTTTACCTTCCAATAAACAGTCAATAACTTCGAGTCTACTTGTCGCTTCGTCGGATAATTCTTGTGATAACAAATCGTATGTTTCCTTTTCGAGTTTCTGGCAAACTTCTCGATGACCGCCCTAATCGCTTTAAGTCGGTCGATTTTCGACATATTCTAAATCTCTACTTCGTGAGCTCGCCCCACGTTGGGCGCCATGTAGAAAACGGTGATTATTTTCGCTTTATTCGTCGTAAAAGGGTTTAAAAACACGCTCGAAAAACTACATATTTTTCCTTTATTTTTATGTTCCAAAAAATAAATATCTCGTCAACCAAACAAGAAAAACCGGTTTTATCTAATTATGTAAAATTACTGTAACGTAAACAAGTCTGCGATCACGTGAATGTCACGATTGTTATAGGTAGTATTTAAATGTTTTGACACTAGAAAATGTATTTGGTGGAGCTACTTTACAAACACTGTTCCATAATTTCACGATCCGGTTGAAATATGAGTTCTGATATGTTGTGGTTTTACGCAATGGAGTCTTGAGCAACAGGTTGGGATTACGACATAGACGGGAGTGGTTATGGGTTACAAACGAGACATAGTCATGAACATTGAGATCGGAAATACCATAAAGAGCCTTGTAGAAGAACATTAGATCTTTTATCTCTCTATCATAACACAAAGGTAGTAAGTTCAGATCAATGAGACGCTCATTGTAGCTGGAATCACCCTTTCTAGCTTTCAATATCCATCTAGTGGCTCGTCTCTGCACACGCTCTATCTTTGTCTTCTGTGAGCAGATGTATGGGGACCAAACTTCACAGGCATAACATACAGGCTTACTTGTGCGCCAGAGTCCAATAAGATGTTAGCTTTCCTTCGCTTTCCTTCTTGACCGAGAACTTCCGCTTGAATAACTGGGAGCATACTTTCTTTGCCGTTGTTGACTGAAGCAACTCCAACTTGACTGGGTGGGCTGGAGTCATGCAGCAGGGGGTGGTGGTATGACTTGCATTGTTGACCGTTTACTTTGCCTGTACACTGGCGTCTTCGTGAGCATGTAGCTGCTTTATGATTCTGCTGGTTTTCTTCAAACAGGAGAAGCAAGCACGATTTTCTCTTATCAGCTTCATTCGGTTCTCTGGACTCATACCTTCTAGCTTCGAACATTGATCGACCCAGTGCGTTGAGGTCTTGCACAACCAACACTTGTGCCTTTCGTGTTCTTCATGTCCGACATGGTTGACGTTCCATCTTGTTCTACCTTGGTTTCGCAGAGGGGCTGATGCTCTCATGCGGGACTTCATTTCTGTTGTCATCCACTTCATAATGTTTTCCAGTGTGGCTTCCTTTTTCTCTCTTTCGAGATCTCGTGCCCAAACCTTGCGATCATCACTTGACATTTTTTGCTCGATTAAAGCTAGCATATGATTATTGTTCATATCGTTGGGGCGACCGACTTCTTTAAGTGTGTTGTAACTTCTGTTAACTAGGTGGACCAGTTCACAAAACCGAGCGTCTTCGCCATCCTGAAGTGCTTTGAACTTGGATAGGTCTTGTGTAATTGTGTCTGCTATGAATCGTGGATCTCCATAAATTGAGTCGAGATACTCCCATGCGGCTTTGTAATCACATCCTATGCCCTTAATCAGTTCTAGTGGTTTTCCTTGAAGACTTGCCCGTAGTATTCTTATTGCATCTCTGTCGCTGTACTGTGATTCAACAACATGCTTGAAATCACCCCGAAATATTACGTAGTCTCTTACATCTCCACTGAACTTCGGTAATTTCGGCTTTTCAACTTTGAACGCACACGATTTAACTTCCTTGTTACTGGTTGGACTCTCTGCATTATTATCCATTTGCTGTACTGCCGGTTGGGGTGTCAATTCCTGAACTGTTTGTTCTGTTTCTTCGGTAAGTTCTACATCTTGAGAATTGCTATCTGTGTTTTGTTCTGGTATTTGATTCTCTATAATAGCTGTGCTGGTATTTTCTCCGTTAATTTCTTGGTTTTCCTGCGTTTTCTTATAGCTATATCATTTTCTGCGCACGTGTCTTGGGTGACTGTTCCTGTTTTGATTTCAAAATATAATCTTTCGCTCTGAATTTCAAAATTAATGTTTTCTCGCGGCAATCTTCGATCCATTTTTCTTCCTTATCAAATTCTTCGTCATCGACCTTTTCTACTAAAGCCTCATGCTTTTCTACGACAGTTTTATAGTCTATTTCTACTAGTTCTAGCGCTTCTGTTATCTCTTCAACAGGCCGGTTGTTTTCAATCATGCTGTATAAATTATTACTGCGACGTGTTAGCGAACTTTTCGCGTTTCTTCTGGCCTTTTTCGCATCCATTTTACAGTGAAACTTTATCAGCCTTTGCTGTGAACCTTTGGGACTCCAGATATAAACACAGAAATCGAATTTATGGTCCGTTGGGTTCGACAGAACTCAATATATTACCGACAAAGACCCGCGAATCGTATAGTCAATTGAACGTATTAAATATGTCAATAATTTTTATTCGATCTAAAAGTATAAAAATATAAAACTAATGTAAGTAAAGTATAAATGGTACATACGTGTTCTTTCTCAGTAACTTACTTCTTGGCGAGTCTTTGAACAATCCTCTTTAACAACAAATAATTCGTCCGATATATCTAGCGTGTCCGATATAGTTTCAAGTCGCTATTACAAACCTTATAACACATGTATTATTTCCCGCGTCTTAGCATAATTAAGAATGCTAATCTGAATATATTACATAAATAAATATACATTACGTCACTGTTCGCAACAACTGTCCAAACCCAAAATGAAACAACTGAGGACATAACTATAACTAGTGAATCAGTTACACAACAAGATAAGCCACAAAGTGCATTTCTTAACATGAAAACAAGCATGCTCCGTCGGGAATTCAAGATACAAGGACAAATCGGAGAGCCAGGGCATAAAGATAAACTAGCATATCAGTCACTCATTTCACAGATTGAAATTGGGCTGCAAAAGGGTTACACAGAAGAGGAAATTACCCATGCTGTTGTTAGAGCTGTTCAGGCTGGGTTACAACTACGAAGTTATTTGGAGGGAATAAATGGGTTGACATTACCACGATTACGTAAAATCATTACCAGAAATGTGGGTCAAGATGGTGGACATGACAAAAAATTACGCAACAAAATGGCGTCCGATAATGCTAGGATTAGTATAGGCATATAAGAACTTTCTAAGATATCGCATCAATGAGCCGCAAATCACGCTTACTTGGCATCGTTTCACATGCTATGCTGATTCAGGAATCTATTAATTCTAACAACTATTTCTAGAATAAAATACACTCACTTCCCGAGATCATTACTGATATCACATTCCCCAGCATAATAACTCCTTATATTGCATGTGAATCTGACAATACACGCCACAAACGCAGCCTGGTGGACGGAAATATATCCAGCGAAATCTTGAGCTTGGCATCGCAATTGTTTCAATAGCATTCAAAGTTTATATATTCGCCAGCAAAAGTATCTAAATTCCGCAGGAAACTACTTCCAAAATCCTCTAAACTTAGCCATTTTATTTATCCATACATGCTACAAGGGGCCATTTTTATCAGCACAACTACGATAAAATTTTCATACATGATACATTGCGTTTCTTCTCCGCCATATTTGTTTTTAAATTAATTATGCTCTTCCCAGTCTCTTACCCTGCCCAGCACGCAAATTTATGCACCTTTCTCAGCTAAATAAATTTATTATACGTGCGTAAACGCGTCAAATTTGGAAATTATTTCTTCGATCGTGCCACAAATAGTGGTTCTGCTGTTGTAAAAAATGTCAGACAATCTTACATTAGTTAATAGCAGTAAAATAAAATGGAATTTAGCCGTCAGCACGGAGTTTCCCCTTCAATATATTAACAACACGATTTGTCTTTGAAGAATGAGCCGCCATTTTGTTTGTATTTTTTGATGAATCATCATTTATGCGTAAAACCGCTGGATACGATTGCGGACGAAAAATGTCCCACATTTCTGGTAATGATACTACCACAGTTTACGCTTTCATTTCCAAGAGAAAAGTGCTACCGAGCTCTACCAGCTCTTGGCTAATATCAGTCAAGCCCCAAAAGAAAGTCCACAAGAATTTTTAATTCGTGCCCTGACGATTCGGCAAAAAATAGTGTTTGCATCAAAAGAATCGGATACCAAGATCAAATATGATGAAGGGCTTGTCCAAGGCCTATTCTTGCATGCCCTAGAAACTGGCCTTGTCGATGAAACCATTCGGGCAAAAATGAGGCCACTCCTTAAGAACGAATCAGTGGCTGATGAAGAGCTAATTGAAGTAATGAGCTCTGCGATGGCTGCTGAATCAGAAAGAGCCACGAAGTTCAACCAGGTGGGCCGAGTAAAGTCCTCACCAAAAGTCTCAAAGATAGAAACCGGAGTGCCACCAAGACCTGCAGAGTCACCAAATGCACATGATAGTGAGATACTGGCCACATTAAAAGCGATCCAGGCAGAATTGAATACAGTTCAGTCCGAGGTAGCTAGCTTGCGGACGAAAGTAGACCAGAAAGATTCCCCTCAAGGACACCCCCCTTCCAGTACCTTCATGACGGGTCGTGTTGGTCAAAACCGAAGAAATGATGGCCGTCAAGGTGATTACCCTCCATTGTGTAAAAAGTGCCACGAAGAGAATCAAGTTAATTGTCCTCATTGTTTCAAATGTGGAGGAAGAAATCACACTGCCCGATATTGCAGGTTGGGAAACGAGAGGAGGCTACCCCTGAGGGACTAGGAGTAGCCGCGTCAAACCAGAATAAGTCCCACCGATGCAATGGTTGTAACCAAGAGGAAGTTCACGCTAACTTTAAACGTTGTTCTACCTGCAAACTGGTGTATTATTGCTCAAAATCATGTCAAAAAAGACATTGGAGTGAGCACCAAATACTTTGCAATGCCATTAAGGAACAACTAAATCAAAACAATGAAACTCTCAGAGGACTGGGAGATAGTTCAGACACAGAAATGTTTGCAAGTCACCTTTCTCCAAAGAAACACACCGCAATTGCTAAACTTGTTGGTCGCAAATGCTCTGTTCGGTGTATTGTAAATGATGTTGACATGGAAGCGTTATGGGACACTGGAGCCCAGGTCTCCATTTTCCCGGAACAGGTTCTGTCTGACAATTTTTCTGATTTGAAAATACGTGATATTAGTGAATTGCTTGGTGCGGGTTCTGGTCTGAATTTAACTGCGGCAAATGGGACATCAATCCCTTATAAAGGCTGGGTGGAAGCTAGATTTAGATTAAACCGAGAAGATGAAAAAGAAGTAACAGTACCATTCTTAGTAACACCCGAACAGTTGGAACAACCAATAATTGGGTACAATGTTATTGAACTGTTTTTGCAAGAAGGTGAAAACTACTCAGATAATTTATCAGTGGCACACCATATAGTGTCAAGTTTTAATAATGTTGGAGTGAAAGATGCTGAGCAATTGATAAACATTATCCAAAGAAATGATGGGGAGTTGTTTTGCCAAGTAAAAACATCCAAACGTCACATTACAATACCGAAGAAAGCTACCAAAACAGTACCCTGTCGAGCAAATACGGGAACGATTGAGAATACAAGACCAGTGCTTCGAAGTGCTTTTTGAACCTGATGAAAAACAAGAGTGGCCTCCCGGCCCGGATTAATAGTTCATGAAACCTTAACATCTGTGAAAAAGGGAAAATCCACAATCATGCAAGTGCAAGTGACAAACGATACAATGCATGACATCGTACTACCTGGACGGACTGTTTTGGGAAGCCTTGAACTTATTCGTTCTGTTACACCAATTGAGGTGAAATTAAAGGAAAATGTAGATGATGAGAAAAGAGCTGATATGAATTTTGGAATGGAGAGACAGAGGACTAGTCAAACTAAGGACTCTTGCCATTCAGCTGTAAATTCTGAGAAAGAACAATTCATACCGGAAGTCGATTTAAGTACTCTCACACCCGAACAGCAAACTTTGGTAAAAAAAATGTTGTATGAAGAGCGAGATACTTTTTCGATCGACGATAATTGGCGGCCCATCCAAATTGCCCAAAGATTTTCCATGGCCCATCCCAAATCACTCCGGCCCACCCTAGCAGTTACTTTATGACCGGTCCCTAATATATTAAATACTTAGGAACTAGTTAATAAATTACAAGATAAACTACATTACGTACCGAAGGATTGAAAGTTCTGGAAAGCCTGAAAATATGTCGACGGGTTGAATCCTAGCTGCACTAATAACCCTTCTTCAAAAAAACTTAACGCTCGAAGGAAACTCACTAACAATATCTTGGTCATAGTAAATGTGAACACAACGAACTATACACTTATATTGTTCTATATATTAATACGCATATCATCTTCACTGTAAGGAAGACAGTAGCTGTAACTAGGGTACCGTACGTAAGGCACTGTACCATGCTTGTAATTTCATCCATTCCTGAAGATACTAAAATATAGTCGAATAAAACGTAGAAAAATAAAAATGCTGTCATTTCTTTAAATTATTTCATTATATACAGGGTGTATAAAAAAATTGCCATATTATTGTGTGTTAAGTATTGAGTATGTAGATTTAATTTTCACATCCTAACACATTTCACATCCCATCATTTGAAAGTGATGTCTGTAAACGACTTTGTTATTTCCTACGAAGTACAAAGTCTAATTCTTTGTATTCTTCTCATTCCTGCAATGTTATTTATCAACTACAAACTGTTTCTAGTCGTCAGGAAAAGTCGTAAAAGCAAACGAATATCGCCCGAGATGAAAAAGACATTTTCTTTGAAAAACATATCGAGTTGTTTGCTGGTAGTCGCTTGTGTTGTGGTGGTCTCCATTCCATGGTTCGTCTACATTGGATTAAGAGTAAACTCGCCAGAGACAAGAAATACTTTGGATGATGCAAAACTTGCAGCGATGTGGGGTATAACCAAGTCGAATAAAACGTAGAAAAATAAAAATGCTTTCATATCTTTAAATTATTTCATTATATACAGAGTGTATAAAAAAATTGCCATGTTATTGTATGTTAAGTATTGGGTATGTATAGATTTAATTTTCCCATCCTAATAAAGATTAGGCTTTTAACTATCGAATGAGATATTTTTCTACCATTGCTTAAAAACTGAACTATCACGACAATTTAAAATGGCCGATTTTTCTGCCGTTACATGATGTTATAATTGCATTTATTGTTGAAATTATTCTCTGAAAGAACAGTCAAAGTTTAAAAGAATAACAAGGAATAGTTTTCAAAAGAATTCTCAAATAATCAAAATAAGAACAATCTAGTCTTGGCGATTAATTTAAAGATGATTCAACTCGTCATTAGACAACGAAATTCTGTGGATAAAACATTTTACGAAATCTGAAGTTTGCAGAGAACTTGTAATGCCTATATAATGTTTCTCTGAAATTCTCTCATATACAGCGACCTCCATTTGGGCAAATGTTTGAACATTCTGAGAATATTTTGCGCCAGCAGAGATCTACATGCATATCAGTATATGACCATCTGCTCGCCATCTCGGGGCATTGGCATTGGTCGAAACATTTATTTAGAAAGTAGTATCAATATTGTATAATTACTTTCTTATTGTGAGTTGGTTATAGAACAACATAGAGACATTTTTAATGTAAAAATCGAAAGCGACTGAGACGCGAGCTTGTATTTCCTTTTATTTTGCAATTAACGACTCGACGAAAAGTGCTTTTTCGCTTGGGCCACTTGTACTTTCAAAACAAACTTTCATTTACATGTCTCACCATCGCACCTGTTCTCAAGTTGTTTTCGAAAAGGCAAAACTGCAATTGCAAACTAATAATATATGTTGAACGAGAACAATAGATAATCATGCACTTTACACAACTTTAACATATCACATTTCTATATACTACGACTAGCAAAAAAACAAATTACTAAAATTAAAAATAAAATATAAAAATTAATAAACTTTAGCATTGCACGTTTGAAATTCATGCAATAATACGAAAATTTCGAGTGTAAATTTTATACATTTATTAAGAGCCAACATGGAGCAGTTGTGAAAAATGCAACTATATATAGACCCTCTGGCAGGAATCAAACCTGTGGTCCTGCGATTCCAGTGCAGCGCTCTAACCACCTGAACTACAGAGTCCACCTGGATAGTTCATCATAAATGTATATAAAATTTAGACTGGAAATTTCCATCTACAAAATCCGTCAACATTATTCTTCAATCAACTGAGATGCCCAAAAATCATCATAATAATATGTCCCCCCCCCCCCGTACCCCATACTTTTCTTGAGGATCAATTTTGTAATTCTTTCAACACTGAGGAGAAACTGGGGGGGTGTAACCTCTTAATGTTTTCATCTGTGATATAAAATATACCAACTGTGTGGCTTTCAGACTATCATAAAACGTGTCTAAAATGCATGAAAATCCTAAAACTCTTCCTGGAGACGATCTCCCCTTTCGCCCCCCCCACCAAACACATTTGGGGGTGGCTACGCCCCTGTCCCCCACGATTACAGAAGCTCCACCATCACTAATAAAGATATAAATAGTTTGTTCTGCGGACGTGCCATTGACCAGCATAAAACTTCAAGTAGAAGGTCTTTGAAATTTAAAAGTGAAATTGACAGTGGACATATTAATGCATGGATTTTAAAACGTACAATATCAAAAGGATTTTAAATTTACTTTGCCGTAGAAAATAAAACAGTCTTACTTTTAAAGTTACGGACAGTACATCTCATTCTGTCAACATGTATAATTAAAACCTACCTTAATAGTTTAACAGTAATCTGTTTGCAGTTTTGGAAAACAACTCGAGAGCAGGACGAGACATTTGTTCTGAGAGGACAGATAGTCCAAGAGAACAAAACGTTTCATCTTACCGCCGAGTTAAACACATAAGATGAGGCTAAAAACCAGGCTAAACGTATACTTATTAAAAGAAATAAACTTCAGTTCTAAACTGTTTTCCCTAGAGGTTCCGCAAGGGTCATCTCTTATATTGATTCAGGATTACTATACAGGAGAAAATCTAAACAAAACTAAACTTTAATTATATTGCATTGATAACTATTTCAGTTCTAAATCAGTATGATGAACGCGTCAGTGTTATAACAGCCACTCCCTCGTATTTGTATATCTTATATAACACTGCCGTTCATGTGGTATTTCTTGTATACAAACTTCCATGCATGAGCTTGCGTGTACTTATGCAATATTTTCAAACACATCTAAGCACAGAGGCATACTATTTCTTCTTCATATTACCATTTTATGACAGGAAATGTATAGTTTACTTGTATATGTCATTTATACACTCGAGTACTTGAAGTTCAGGTGTCATATCTTAAACACAACTGTTTTAGTTTTATGTTTAATTCTTCAGAAGAAGTCGCTCGAGGATGGAATCTTATTATTTTATCAACCTCATATTCATATTTGCTGTGAACATATTCTTCTTTTTCTCAGGAATATGTTTAAATTCCTTGGTCATACTCAGTTTCTGGAAATCCGTACAACTTCGAAAGAAATTATGTTATTTCATGATAACGGTTTTGTCCTGTTGCGATTTGCTCGCGGTTTTAAGCAATAATCCATTGATCGCGTTCATCACCATGTCATGGTTGACGGGAAAGTTGGATGGAAATGCTAAATGGCCTCATACTTCCTTAAGTTGGACAAGTCTTTTCCTTGGTTTTTCGTATTTCGCTCTTTTGGTGATGAATTTCGATCGATATTTGGCGACATCTTATCCTATCTTTCATCGAACATCGGTAACGAAGGGAAGACTTTTAACTCTTCTTGCAATACTGAACATGGTCAAAGTAATTTTGAAAGTCATGTCTGTAAACGACTTTGTTATTTCCTACCAAGTACATACTCTCATTCTTTGTATTCTTCTCATTCCTGCAATGTTATTTATCAACTACAAACTGTTTCTAGTCGTCAGGAAAAGTCGTAAAAACAAGAGGATATCACCCGAAATAAAAAAGACGTTTTCTTTGAAAAACATATCGAGTTGTTTGCTGGCAGCCGCTTGTGTTGTGGTGATATCCATTCCAGCGGGCGTCTACATTGGACTAACAATAAACTCGCCAGAGACAACAAATACTTTGGATAATGGAAGCCTTGCACTGATCTGGACTCTAACCATATCATTGATGAATTGTACATTTAACTGTTTAATCTTTTACTGGAAAAACAAGGTGTTACGTACCGAAGGATGGAAAGTTCTGAAAAGCCTGAAAATATGTGGACGGGTTGAATCCTAGCTGCACCATAGATATCTTATATATACACTAGATAGTGCATCTAATTATTGTGCAAATAAAAAATTGAAGCCGGGATTGCAGTCTCAGGTCATTCCCATGAAATGAGAGAAGATTAGTATATTTCCTATTTCTTAAACAGGGAACATAAATATTAAGTTAACCCTATTCAAATACATGTTTAAACTATTCAAATGATGAAAGTTATTGCTGTTTTTAACCCTTTATTAGCAAGTGGGAACGACCAACATGACCGCCATCTATTCAAATGGGGGTAACCGCTGGAATATTCTTGGCTTCAATTTTGCTAAAAGAGATGCGCTATCTAGTGTATATAAGATATCTATGAGCTGCACTAATAAACCTTCTTCAAAAAAAACTTAAGGTTCGAAGGAAAGTCACTAACAATATCTTGTCATAGTAAATGTGAACACAACGAACTATACACTTATATTGTTCTATATAGTAATACGCATATCATCATCACTATAAGAAAGACAGTAGCTGTAACTAGGGTATATAAGGCACTGTTATGCTTGTAATTTCATCCATTCCTGAAGATAACTCAACTATAGTCGAATAAAACGTAGAAAAATAAAAATGCTTTCATTTCTTTAAAGTATTTCATTATATACAGGGTGTATAAAAAATTTGCCATGTTATTGTGCGTTAAGTATTGGGTATGTATAGATTTAATTTTCCCATAGATTCCCTAGATTTAATTAAGCCTTTAGCTATCGAATGAGATTTTTTTTCTATCATTGCGCTAAAAACTGAACAAACATGCACGACCGATTTAAAATGGCCGATTTTTTGCCGTTCCATGACAATTGCAAACGCGTATGTCTGAGTGTTGAAATTATTTTCTGAAAGAATGGTCAAAATTCAAAAGAATAACAAGGAATGGTTGTCAAAAGAATACTCAAATAATCAAAATAAAAATAATCTAGTCTTGGCAATTAATTTAAAGATGATTTAACTCGCGATTTATATATCGACCTTCTCGCCATCACGGAGCATTGGCATTGCCATTGATCGAAACTTTAGAAAGTAGGCCTACTGTATATTGTATAATTACTTCCTTATTGTGAGTTGGTTTAGAATAACATAGAGACATATAGTTTTTAATGTAAAAATCGAAAGCGAAGACGCGAGCTTGTATTTCTGTTTATTCCGTAATTAAAGACTCGACGAAAAGTGCTTTTTCGCTTGGGCCACTTGTACTTTCACTGCAAACTTTCATTTACATGTCTCACCATCGCACCTGCTCTCAAGTTGTTTTCGAAAAGACAAAACTGCAATTGCAAACTAATAATATATGTTGAAGGAAAACTATAGATAATCATGCACTTTACACAACTTTAAAATATCACATTTTTATATACTACGACTAGCAAAAAAACAAATTACTAGAATTAAAAATTAAAAATAAATTATAAAAATTAATAAAGCTTTTAGCATTGCGCGTTTGAAATTCATACAATAATAATACGAAACTTTTGAATGTAAATTTTATACATTTATTAAGAGCCAACATGGAGCAGTTGTGAAAAATGCAACTATATATAGACCCTCTGGCAGGAATCAAACCTGTGGTCCTGTGATTCCGGTGCAGCGCTCTAACCAACTGAGCTACAGAGTCCACCTGGATAGTTCATCATAAATGTATAAAATTTCCATCTACAAAATCCTTCAACATTATTCTTCAATCAACTGAGATGCTCAAAAATCATAATAATAATATGGTCCGACCCCCCCCCCCCGTGCCCCACACTTTTCTTCAGGATCAACATTGAAATTCTTTCAACACTGAGGAGAAACTGGGGAGCGGTAACCTCTTAATGTTTTCATCTATGATATAAAATATACCAACTCTGTGGTTTTCAGATTATCATGAAAATCCTAAAACCTTTCGGGAGACCATCTCCCCCTCCCGCCACCCACCTTTGGGGGTGGCAACGCCCCTGTCCCCCACGATTACAGAAGCTCCCCCTCATTAATAAAATATATCAAAAGTTTGGTCTGTGGACGTGACATTGAACAGCATAATACTTCATGTAAAAGGTCTTTTGAAATTTGAAAAGTCAAAATGACAGTGGACATATTAATGCTTGCATTTTAAAACGTACAATGTTAAAAGGATTTTAAATTTACTTTGCCGTAGTATATAAATAGATATTGCACTAAAGATATGTAAAGTACATATCATTCTGTTATTGCTGTTTGCAGTTTTGGAAAACAACTCGATCGAGAGCAGGGCGAGACGTTTGTTTTGAGGGAACAGATGGCCCAAGCTAACAGCACGTTTCATCTTACTGCCGAGTTAAACACATTATAAGATGAGGCTAAAAACCACACTAAACCTATACTTATTTAAAGAATTAAACTTCAGATCTAAACTGTTTCCCTAGAGGTCCCGCAAGGGTCATCTCTTATATTGATTCAGGATTACTACAGGAGGAAATCTAAACAAAACTAAACTTTATTTATATTGCATTGATAGCTATTTCAGTTCTAAATCAGTATGATGAACGCGTCAGTGTTATAACAGCCACTCGCTCGTATATATTTGTATATCTTCTATAACATTGCTGTTCATGCGGTATTTTTTAAAAAACAAATTTCCATGGGCTTGCATGGTACTTGCATGGAAACACATCAAGACAAAGAGGCATATGCTATGTCTTCCTCATATTACCATTTTATGGTAATGAAAAGTATAGTTTACTTGCATAAGTCATTTACACACTCGAGTACTTGAAATTTAGGTGTCACAACGATTTTAGTTTTGTGTTTAATTCTTCAGAAGAAGTCGCTCGAGGATGGAATCTTATTATTTTATCAACCTGATATTCATATTTGCTGTTAACATATTCTTCTTTTTCTCAGGAATATGTTTAAATTCCTTGGTCATACTCAGTTTCTGGAGGTCCGTACAGCTTCGAAAGAAATTATGTTGTTATATAGTTAGTGTCAAACTTCAATATTTCTGTTTGCCGATTGGTCAAAACCGTATCACGTGCCGGTCCACAAAACGTCATGTTCGGCAACCGGTTCGCAATGAAACATTTATTGACCGGTCAATAATAAAATGGGTGCAATACGCATGCGTGTCAACCATGAAGTTCCAAAGTTCATTTTTTAAACGTTTTACTAAACATTTATGGCGTTCCATTGATTTATCCAGTTTTGATTTCAAATTAAGTTCACTCCAATAACCGGTGAACTACTCATACTTTGACACTTATATACTATATAACAAAACACTTATTTACTGAAACCTCGGGAAAGCAGTGTGTTTTGTGGCCCTCGACCGCCGTTGTTGCCCTCGGCTTCGCCTCGGGCAACAACGGCGGTCTCGGGTCCACAAAACACACTGTTTCCCTCGGTCTCAGTAAATAAGTGATAATTATTTCATGATAATACTTTTGTCCTGTTGCGATTTCCTTGCGGTTTTAATCAATAATCCATTGATGGCGTTTATCACGATGTCATGGTTGACGGGAAACTGAGTTGGATGGAAATGCTAGATGGGCTCACGATTCCTTTAGATAGCCAGGTATTCTCCTTGGTTTTCATATTTTTCTCTTTTGGTGATGAATTTCGATCGATATTTGGCGACATCTTATCCTATCTTTCATCGAACATCGGTAACGAAGGGAAGACTTTTAACTCTTAATTCTTGCAATAGTGATCATCGTCCAAATAACTTTGAAAGTGATGTCTGTAAACGACTTTGTTATTTCCTACGAAGTACAAAGTCTAATTCTTTTCACTCAGTGGTAATTACCATGAGGATTTGGGACCAGTGGCGTCATTCTGGCGTCAGCAAACGTGAAAATCCGCCATGTTTTTGGCTTCACCTCTTGATGCCGAGCACTTCCTCCAGTTATATTATAGCTCAGTGCGTTCATCATGCAAAATACATGTAATGACGTCATGCAAAATACATGTAATGACGTCATGCTCTAACATTCTTCCTTTTTTGCTTCAGGTCGAAGAAGCTAAGATGGAATTGAAAAAAGTTGTGGAATTTTTAAGATCACCAGAAAAATTTACTAAACTTGGTGGAAAACTGCCCTCTGGTAAACATGCGTTTGAAATTATACAAAAAAGCAATAATTCTAGTTCATGCACGTGTTGGCCAACACGGATACCACGGTTTGCATCCAAAGAGTGAACAATCGTAGATAACAACATACGTGTATTCTCACGTGAAACTTTCATGTTTGTCAAGAGCATGAAATTGACAGGTTTCAATCTGATCAGCCATTCACTAGTCAGTAGTTGAGACCATTGAACTATAAGTAAACTGGAACGATAAATTCGCCACCATCTTTGAAGCCGGCCATGAGTGTTTTCTGCAGTATCCCCAGTCCTTTTTTACAAAAAGGATGCGAAAAATACGCTTGCACAGTTTTGCACAGCTTGTTGTGGTAGTGTGGGTGCTGAAAGAGTTCAGAGACAATTTTATACAATTTATGTAGAACAATCTTAGATACGGTTGATAATGGATGTCCACACATCCAGAAACGTACTTTAATAAGTTAAAATTAAGGATTAAATTAGTAAAAATACTACGTGAATAATTTTGTGTATTTATCTTCGTATACTACCTGCGAACAGGCTATACTTGAGCGCCCGAAATTTCGCTTCACCCAAACATAGGCCTTTATCATAGGAGTTATCGTTCCAGTTTACTTATATTATATATGCAATGGTTGAGACCTTTAAACGTCATGAACACTAGCTATAGCGTTTTGCGTGAGAATGGACAATTTTCTGCGACTGTTCATTCATAGATGCAAATGATAGTATATTTTGCTTTGAGTACATCCCGGTCATGCTGGAATCTTTTATATCTGCATATTTTTCTGCATGGCGTGTGAAATGTAGACATGTTTTGGTTGCTTTAAAGTAGTACATGATATATAACTTAATTGACCTCGGTAATAATCTCATATCACTCCTTATGATACGCGTTTAATATCATAGTCACGACTTGAAGAAGCTGTTCTTTTCGAACACGATATTTTACTGTAAAAGTTTCAGCCAGCGCAGTGAAATTTTATTTAAATCGTATTCTTGCTTCAAAGTATGAACAAAATTTTAGTTCGGTGAAATTGCATTACTATCATAAAATATGAAATTTGGAATATCACTCATTGGTTTATAATATGTTGCAGGTATATTGTTGATTGGAGCCCCAGGCACTGGTAAAACGTTACTTGCAAAAGCTGTAGCAGGTGAAGCTGGAGTGCCATTTTTCTTCTGTTCTGGAGCTGAGTTTGATGAAATGTTTGTCGGAGTTGGTGCTGCCAGAGTAAGAAACCTGTTTGGTAAGTGGATCAAAATGTTTTATTTGAGTGAATTGAGTCTCAGCTTGTTACTACCAGTTGGATTCCACCAAACACCGTAGGTACGAGCAGTAACACTTGACCATTATAATGGATGAGCCTTGTTGGACCTCTAGATAAATAATCGATATCATGTATGCCTTATCGGTAGACAATTGGAATCGGTAGAATTATTTGTATTCCCGATTGTGTAAAACAGATTGTTGAGAAAATACGCACTTTAAAAATTATATGCATGGCATGTTGATACACGTTGCGTTTTAACGCAATATGTTAAATTAACGCGTGATGCGTACCATAATTTATGAACGGTTTTAACGAACTTTGCATGTAAAGTTTGTTCGTTCACTGCAACCAGGTATATCAATCATGTTTCGCTCGCTACTCTGGTTTAAATAAATGATTACAAAGCCTAGTCGAATAGTAATCAAGACCCAACGAAACGTTGGGTCTTGATTACAATTCGACTGGGCTTTGTAATCATTTATTTAAACCAGAGTAGCGAGCGAAACATGAACTTTGCATGGTTACCGTAACATGTCACGTTAGAAATTATTGCTAAATGATCTAAATGAATGACGTCACCTTTACTTGGTCGACTGACATTATGACGTCATTATAGAATCGGTATCGGGTAGATTGTTGCAATGAATAATCGGTAATTTCCGATTGTGACACAATCGGGTCAATCACTACTAGAAAGATCAGTTTAGAACTGATGGAACTATACAGTCTAAAAAAGATTACTTTAGTTTGATAAAACGTACACTCGGTATTCTTATACTGTGTTCAGCTGAAGTGGATTATTATAATTTAAACCTCTACCTATTATTGTACAGTTTATGCATGACTTCATACATGTAACCTATTCTTTCACAGCTGCAAGCTAAGACAGTCACACCGTGTATTCCATTTATTAATGGACTTGATTACGCTTGATTATATGCATACAAATATTCTTTTACTCTCCACAGCGGCAGCTAAGGAACTTGCACCTTGCATTATATTTATTGATGAACTTGATGCTATTGGAGGAACGCGAAGTGTTGGAGATCACCAACCTTATTCAAGAATGACATTGAATCAACTCCTCGTCGAGTTAGACGGGTAAGATAATTCATTTTCAATAAGTTGAGTTTTGTTAGGTCACGTGCTTTTACTAGAAGAATGATAAGACTTGTAAAACTTCCTGAAGATTGCACAGGTGCTCGAATTCTCCCCTATGTTTCGTGTGCATTAAAGTATGTTCAGGAAGTGCAACTAGGCTCCGTGGCAGGAATCGAACCTGCGATTCCGATGCAGCGTCGAGCTCTAACCGCAAGTTCATGTATATGTACTATAACATAATGCCAATGTAAGATGTATGCATGTTATATATCAGGATTTTGGGGCATCTCACTCGATAGATGCAATTGTAGGTGGAAATTTTCTAGTGTAAATGTGTAAGGGTTTTGTAGGCGGAAATTTTCTAGTGTAAGTGTATAAGGGTTTTGTAGGTGGAAATTTTCTAGTGTAAATGTATAAGGGTTTTGTAGGTTGAAATTTTCTAGTGTAAATGTATAAGAGTTTTGTAGGTTGAAATTTTCTAGTGTAAATGTATAAGAGTTTTGTTGGTGGAAATTTTCTAGTGTAAATGTGTATGGGTTTTGTAGGTTGAAATTTTCTAGTGTAAATTTTTATTCAAATGCTCCTGGCCTGGTCTAATAAATGTGTAAAAATTTACGCTCGAAAATTTCCATCAACACTTTTACAATGAATTACATCTAGTGAGTGTGATGCCCTAAATTCTGATGTTGGGGAAGTGTCTCTCGTAGTTTTGTCTAGTTTTGTAATAATAGGTTTCGCAAAATACTTTCTCATTCTAACATATGATTGGATTATTTAGGTTTGATAAAACGGAAGGTATTGTCGTTATTGGTGCTACGAACTTTCCTGAAATTCTCGATAAGTAAGTAAATAACAAAAAAAAAGAGACAAAATGCTAATATTTAGAAGTCTTACTTTTAATTGCATATTTTATATTTGTATTGTTGTTCAGAAGAAAAGTACTTTATTTCGAAAATCTAACGTGGCTGATATTTCTAGGGCATTAGTGCGACCTGGTCGTTTTGACAGTCGTGTGACAGTTCCCATGCCAGATGTACGAGCACGCAAGAGCATCCTTGAACTTCACCTGGGCAAAGTACAGTTGGCAGATGGTAAGAACCTAGTTAACTTGTTCACCAATAACGACGCCATGTTGAATCGTGGTGCATTGTGGTTTTGCTATAGGGGGCAGAAAACTGTTTTTGGTGTGGAGATAATATATGATAATATATGGAAAATTGATTGTCATGAGCACGTTCGCTTACCGCGCACAAAGCATTCCGAGGAAGACTTGATTCTGCCAATCTCCTCCAATCACTCCCACGCGCCTATAATAACCTAAAAACGCGTGGACACGAGGCTTTAAACGTTACAGGATACACTATTATAATAGCCGCGGTCAACTAGCACGTGTATAGAGTAGGCAGTATGAGACGGTCACATCTTGCCCATGCATGCAGCAATATTAACAACAGTCAAAGAAGAAAGAGAGATTAGGCTGGCTGCATTTGATAACCTACTGTATTTGCATTCAATAACTTTAAGTCCGTATATTGAACCTCGATATGTTCCCCGCAATTTGGGTTGTGTCGAACAAGACCTTGTCAAGACTACAGTAGGAGTGTTGATAGGTTCCGGGACAAACTGTGTACGCCATCCTCGCAGTTTGCAATTTTCATTAAGTACATATGAATTATGAAGTGGCAGATACTAAATTTCTCCTGGAAGTGCTGCAGAGTATAGGAAAACATCTACGTTTGATGTTATGTGTATACAGGAATAAATTTTGAGAGGATATATTTTCTATTTAGATGTTAGTCTTGACACTTTGTCCAGAGGTACACCTGGCTTTTCAGGTACGTTAGTCTAAAGATGGTGATCAATTTGTCGTTGTCTATAATAGTTTCTTCCTAAGATTCAACTATGTTATTGTTGTTATGTACTAGCGCGATTTTTCGATCTGATCGCTTTGCACTAAATTGCATTTTTTCAAGAGTAATGCGTGGACGTTTAAGCGCACGTTCCAATGAAGAGCAGCGCTCCTTCATGGGCGCCGTAATAAACAACACGAAATAGCCCAATACATGCCCAGTCGTTTTTCTGATCTATCTATTGAGAGCGTCAAGTTAGAGGCAGCACCTTCCATACAATAGTAACTCCTAGTGTAATACTGAACAATAAACTTCTGAACAAATAAACTTCTGAACAAATAGACTTCTGAACAATAAACTTCTGAACAATAAACCTTACGAGTATTCTACAAAATAATTTTCAAATTTAGCCTCCTCCGTAGTAGGCATCTCTATCGGGGTCACTTGTGTCAGGATGAGAAATGATGCATGCGAACGAGGCTATTTCAAATGTATGTCCAAATACTGTAATACATACTGTACCGTTCATTTCTCATATGTTTAGGTGCTGATCTCGCTAATCTGGTAAATCAGGCTGCCTTGAAGGCTGCGAGTGATGGTCATTTTAATGTGACAAATGAACATTTGGATTACGCCAGAGATAAAATCATTATGGGTAATATACGAAACGAGTACTTCATGTAATATAGAGGTTCATTGAACCGGATATGCTGACACAGCGTACGAACGTTAAAAAATTGTCCGGAAAAAATGTATGACCAAACTGAAATTTAATCGAAAATTGTGCACCCAAACTGTTGGTACTTAATATCCAACCAGTTCAGCATTCTTGTGCAAGTCACCACAGACTGGCTAAAAGTTCATGTTTTATTACGTACGGTAGGCCCTGAAAGAAAAAGTGCATTCATTGAGGAAAAAAATCGTGAAGTAGTTGCATATCATGAAGGAGGACATGCATTGGTTGCACATTTTACTCCAGGTTTGTGCTATTATCAAAATAAATATTTTTTCTTAATACTCTATGCAACATGAAGGATAATGATTTGTTGCCAATCTTTCTGTAGAAGCCCTACCTCTACACAAAGCAACAATTGTTCCTCGTGGAGATGCCTTAGGAATGGTAAGTTACTGGCTCGATCACAACTTACTATACATACAGCGATTTCGTTCCCTTAAACGTCCATTCCCATAAACTCCCTTGATCACCTTTTTCACCATCAAAGTCAGATTGTACATTAGATTATTGTGTTTGTTGCCGCTAAAGTTCATCTAATGGCTTCAAAATTTAGTATCAAGATATATTACATTTCCTCTGGGAATCACCCAAATACTGCCCATACCAAAACTCTATCAGGGATTGGTGGCACTCTAATTGCAACACTGATCATGTATGTTCAGGTAGCTCAACTTCCAGAGAAAGATGAACTATCATGGACTAAGAAACAATTGTTAGCTAAACTGGATGTATGTATGGGTGGACGTGTTGCTGAAGAACTCGTATTTGGCAAGGATAACGTTACAAGTGGTTAGTATACAGACATTGTCTATGCTCGCGTGAAACATCCATATAACGAGCATTTGAGGATTGCAATTATCTCGGCCAATAAGCATTAGGTTAGCAGCGATGGATCACTCAAGCCAGATCAGATTGGAGTTCTATATATGCTTCGTAGTTGTATATGCTTTACACCGCAGCTGAACCTCGTTCCCAGGCTTTTTCCTGTCGCATGATATTGCCTTTCCGAACAATACGGAAACTGGCAACATCCATCTCCCTTTGCCAAGGCTAGGAGGGGTGCACACCCCCATCCCTGTATGTTGAAAGTGATAGGCTGACAAGATTTAAACTCTGAAATGCTCGTTACAAATACCCCACACAGAAATCTGAGTGATACCTGTTTTGCCATGTTAATGTAATTATATCAAGGATAAATTTAATTGATCAGTTTTTCCATGACTCTTGTATACAACAGCAGTGGAGAACTTATTTCTGTATAAATAAAATTTCTTTTCTTTATGATTTCTTTTCCGTGTAGGGGCGTCAAGTGACTTTTCCCAAGCCACAAACATAGCCAGAGCTATGGTCACAAAATATGCCATGAGTGATAAGGTAAACCAAATCTTTCTTCATTGAGAGGTTCACATTTGACTTCGCTACCGCGACATCTCACTGGCTTAGTACGCATCTGATTGGTTAATCGGATATATCAAACGCATCTGATTGGCCAATGGACCCGTGATGGTAGCTGTAGCGGTAGTGGACGTCAGATCTGAATTTCACTATTATCTTACTGACAACTGATTTGAATTTTTTGACATGGCATCCAAAGCAGACGTACAATTTTAATGGTTTAGCAACTGAAATAAAGGCGATAGTTATGAATAAACATATTCCTGACCGTGTTTGAATCTGAACTGCCCGTGTTTGAATCTGAACTGCTCGAGAAAATTAAAAACAGTTACACGTTTCCAGTGGCGCAAACTTTGCGAAAAATTGGGGGGGGGGGCGAGTGCCGAAGGCACGAGATTTCTAGGGGGTATGGGGGAATGGTGGTCCAGAAAATTTTTAAAACGTTTGGATCCCTGAAATGGCATTTGCAGCATTCTGAGAGCACATCTTGTAAGCAATTTCAGGTTTTCAAAACATTAATTTGATGTTGCATTTTGTTATAAATCATATGCTAAGCATAAAAAACGACATTGCAGAGAAAATATTCTAGATGATTAAATACATTTGTGAATGGAATTTAACTCTTTCTCGACAAGTCCCACGCATCGTCAGCTTCTAGAAGCTGGCGACTTTGTATGTTCATATCTTCGGTTCAGTGCATGCTATGAAGACAATAATACCACCATTCGGTTCAGTGAAACAATATCAACTAATCCCTCACTGCCAACATTGTAGCGATTTTACGATTTATGACCTTTGAAAGTCAAGCGAGATCGTATATTATCAAATTACGCAATTGTCTGAACCTAATAATATAGACTAGCCATACCTTTCGCCGAACATAACTTCGGCCCCTTCGGACTTATCTTCTTTGTAATAGTCTTGTTCGAATCGCTATCAACTACACTATGTAGAGTGTCATTTTCGAGCCTGTATCTTCAAATTTGCATCTTTATCATGGTAGTATTTCCATTACTGGTCCGACTGTGAGCTATTAATCTCAACCGGAAATACAATTTCAAAACGTCAAAACAATGCGACGCTTGTATCGTACGACTCTGGAAGTGGCAGAAATCGAAGTGCACCTATACGCGTGATTTTTTACGTCATTCGGCTACAGGAGCTGCTTATTGGCCAAGTATAGCGCGTGGCACGCACATTACATTTTTCAAAATGAAAGCTAGCTAAAATTATTTGGGGGGAGGGGATCGTCCCTTGCCCCCCTCCCCCTAGTTTCCGCTAGTGCGTTTCGCCTTGCTAATGAGTTTAGTCAAGCTAATATTAGTCACGATAACCTCCTCGCCAAGTCCTTCGCTCTAAACAGCGAAGCGGCTGAAAATGGAGATACTCCTGATTTTCCGATATATTCTTCGTATTCCCTTCAGGTTGGTCCACTGGTTATTAAAGATGATGACAAGTTAAGTCCTGAATTACAGAATGCAATTGAAAATGAAGTGAAGCGCTTCATTAAGGTAAAATTAATATTAATTCATGCTACAGTTAGCGCAAACAAAATCGCGTATTTTGAAATAACCATAATAATTTAACAACAAAATGGACAGTTAAAAAGTAGTGAGTCCTAGTAATGATTTATATGCAACCACCCGTGGAGCCGGTTGTTCAAAGCTGGATTAGCGCTGATTCTGCATGCATGGTTTAAATTTAACCTGCTATTTTGGTTTGTGTATTTCTGCACGCCTCTATTCCAAAAATTCAGAAAATAAAACTTCCGTTGATCCAGACAAGAGTTCTGGGAAAATATTTCCATGTTTACAAACAAGCTGTTAGGACGATTGCTTTGAACATTTTGTTAACCCAGGATTGAGCTAACTGGCCTTTGAACAACCAGCCCGTGAAGTCATTTGCACAGCCGCAGCATTTCTTTTTATTCCATGTTTTCTGGTTGATTTTGCATGAAATATGAATTGTCCATATTATTCACGTCGGGAAAAACAGTGTATGAAATTCATTTACATTTCTTTTCATGTTTAAAGGAGTCATACGAACGTGCAAGAAATATTCTTCAACATTATTCAACGGAGCATCAGAGACTTGCAAAAGCCTTGTTGCAGTATGAAACTTTGAACGCTGAGGAAATAGCAGCAATTATTCAGGGAAAATCCATCGAAAAAACACACTAGTTCTTATATAGGATGTTAATAACATGCAATTGTGGATATTTACAACATTTTGGTGGGAAGTTGGCGAATGTTTGAATTTGTCCTCAACGTGACAACGTACGTTGTTGTTTCAGAAACAACTTACAGTAATTCGCAGTCGGACGCATTTGAGTTTTATACAAACTGATTTTACGAGCAAATAAAATATTTATACTTATTTCGGGTTTCTTGGAGATGTAGACAAATGCATGGTGTTGTGGATTAATACCAACATAAAAATTGAGCGAGCGAAACATCAATACCAACATAGTCAATCGACATATGGTCTACAAACTCGGGAAACCGAGTTCAGCTTAGATCAGTGGTTCAGCTTAGATCAGTGGTTCAGCTACGATTTTATGGCCTTTTATGTTGAGATGTCTTCACCATGTACAAATCTTTTGAATTTTTGCTTATTTCAATCCTGGATGTCAACAGCACGGAGGGAGATTAAGGAGTGTTTCCACCAGGTATGCTTGCGTTTGGATGATTGCTTCATGCCAAAAATTCATTTTCTTCTGTATAACAAAGAACAGAAAATAGAACAAAGACTGGTCAAATTTTTAGACCACATCTTGATTGACTATGAGGTAACCTTGGTCATATATATAATGACGGCTGCATCATGTGTATGCATATTAGCAACTAAAAACAGAAATTTCAAAATGATCATAGCCATTACACAAGAACCAATGATAAATTTGTACTAATACTTTGGAAACAAAATTGAACTGTTATTAAAGCTGATTAAACTAACAAAGCTTGCTGAAAATTTACCTAAAGTCTATGTAGAATAAAGTAGAGTAAAGTCACAGAATGGTAAAGTGCAGCTACAACCGGAGGGGGGGGGGGGCAATGGGGCCCCTCCCCCACTTTTTTAAAAGTGAAAAAAGTGCCCTTTTTTCTGGGCTAAAGTGCCCCATTTAAAGAACGAAAAAAGTATTTCTTTAGCCGCCTTTTGCTGGAAATAAAGTGCCCTTTTTGCAGTAGTAAAGACTCTGTAAAGGCCATTTCAGACGTTATAGAGACTCCATATTTAAAAAAAAAATGGCCAATGGCCCTCCACTTTCAAAATGCTTCCGCGGCCTCTGGCTACAATAATAGTCAATAACAAATGGTTTTATAGAAAGACGTAACGTTCATTTGCCAAACTTTAAAAAGCTACATAATCTAAGAAGTCGTCCATAAGCATTTCTTATGTCTTAATCCACATAAGAAAGGATTAATTATCGAATGGGTAGCAATTAATTCCGAGAAAATTATATGAAGTGTTACTGGGATACAATTACACTCTTCTAAAGATGCAGATATTGAATAGGTAATAAAGCAACTTTGGTTTTAGCTCCTTTGCAATTCTCTGCCATTCGAGTTTAATAAGAGTGCACTTCGTGACTGTATTCTTCTTGTATTGAAAGTAATGGAGGAAAACCAATTAGACCATGGTGTAATAATACTTGCAGAGAACTACCTGCAGTATGAAGTGATTGTGCCTAAGGATAATCTAATTGCTTCTGCATGAACAAGAAATTGAAGAGGTAAGTCAACGCAGGTCTAAGCGATTTCATGACATTACAGTGTCGGAGCAGCGGCGGCGGAACAGATTTCGTTCTGGGGGGGCTAAATTTTTTCGGCGACCTCCCTCCCCAAAAAAATTTCGGTCAGTGTACCACTTTAGGGGTACAATATACAAAAAAAGGGACGAAAAAATTTTTTTCGGACTTATATCAAAAATTTTTTTCGGAAATACACTTTTTTTAAACAAAATATTGCAAATTTGTCCCCTTATACCTAAATTTTCAAAAAATAACCTAAATTTTTCCCAAAATTCAAATTTTCTGGGGGGGGGGGGGCTAAGCCCCCCACTTTTACTTCTGGGGGGGCTTTAGCCCCCCTAGCCCCCCCCCCTGTTCCGCCGCCCCTGTGTCGGAGTCGAATAGTATTAATTAAAACTATATTCAGATTGTTATTGTGTTATTATGAGGCATTTTAGTGCAAAGTTACTGTCAATTCTCGACAATATATATTTTATTATCTATGAAATCAATCTCGTTCCCCGAGCCTGCGATCCTTGGGAAGGAACGCGAGGCTCTGGGATAATCCGTTTCAGGGAGGAATCTGATTGGCCGTTGAAATGGAATGCGTAGTTCAATCTTAGCCAGGATTCCTGGCTTCCGGCAACGGATTATCCCAGAGCCTCGCGTTCCTTCCAGAGGATCGCAGGCTCGGGGAACGAGATTGCTATGAAATATGATCCACTGTTTCTTTAAAATCAACATCTACATGGCTATAACATTTGTAAATTAGTGCTTTTTCTAATCAATGATGATTCAAGCGATTTAATCAAGGACATGGATTAGGAAGCGGTTTTTTCGCCTTGTACGTATAATTTACTTTCTCCAAAGCCAATTCAAACGCGTATTTCATGTCGCTGTTTCTCTCAACTCGAAAAACGTGGGTCTCGGGTGGACTGGAAGCTACTCTAACCATTTCAGGGATTCCTCGCATATTCTTATTACCGACTGCTACAACAAAAATTTCCGCATTAATTCCCTTGAGCTTTTTCGCGTTGGGCACTGTTAGATCACGACGCACATTCGACTGTCCATTGGTCATGAGAAGAACCTTCAGTTTTGAAAAGCGCCGGCTTCCTAATTGAAGAGGAAACATAACGTAAAGCATCTAGCCTAACATTGTGTTATTATCTTGCATTCTTGGTGCAGTGTGCATGGACAGGGATGTTGGATTAACCGCCAAGGGAATAAATACACTCGTACACTGTTTTTACACTGCTTTGAATTGACGTAAATAATTTTGCATCTGTTCGAATTGTCCAGATACGATGCTAGAGAACTCCCACCGAAACAACTGAAAGATAAAATCCTATTTGTCTATGGAGTATGGGGACTATCAATTAGGAAATCCTGGGACTATTACTATTAGCTCTAGTTTATATACGGCTATATACTTTCGACCTTGTAATGACAATTTGGTTCACCAACCTGTGCGTAATAGTTGCTCTGCTTCTGCCAATGCTGCTTGTGTATTTGTGCTGCCACCAGGATAGGGGATTGACTTCATTTTCTCAATTGCTTGGGCAGAGGATAAGAAATTAAATTTCACATTTGCCGAGCTACCAAAGGTGATTGCTGCGCTACGACAGCTCGATATGCCCTTCTTTTCTTCTTCCTCGCATACTTTCATTGATGCGATCAACCCATCTCGGCCATAATCAAATTGGCATGAACTAACTGACCCTGATCCATCCATTATAAGAACAATATCCTCCATTTTAATTTGTCTTTTCCCGACTCCTTCTGGCTGATAGCGTATGAAATTATCCAAAATACTCTGTGCAGTCTTTTGTGGAGAAGGAATGTTTTGCCTCAGTTCTATATATAAAAGTCATGGGTGTTACAGCTGAATCAGCGCAACGGCGCAATGTTTTGTTGGGAAACCCCTTAAAAACAGGACATGCAGGTATTTTCAGAGTTAGGAAAAACATGCAAGCACTGCCACTGGAATAGCTAAATTGTCAATTCCAAAACAATTGAGTAAAACTTCATATTAGATATTAACTTACTTTTGTAAACTGGAGAATTTGGATCTGATGGCAATGTTGGTTCCGGACTTCTCCAAAATGTTTGTTGACTGTACTTGGGTAGAACACTGAAGAAAATCACGAGCGATAAGAACACGACTGATTTCATGGTTCTATATGTTGTTTCTGGTTGTTTTATTTTTCACGTTCTTCTTGGCTTCTGTAAAAGTAAAATGAAAATTGTGAGCTTCTGCTAGACGCCTATATATTCTATAGACTGAGTACTTTTTAAGTCTTCTAGATCTGCTGCTTAACTAGATTCTGGCCAGCAGGAAGTTTCTGGGACCTGGGTATAGTTTAACTGATTATGTTTATATACTCTCACTAGTAAGTATACCCTGTTTGAAACTCGCGAACATCTCAATTAAAGGACAATTATGGCTAGTGCCTATATACTATAGACTGAGTGTTTTTTAAGTCTTCTAGATCTGCTGCTTAACTAGATTCTGGCCAGCAGGAAGTTTCTGGGACCTGGGTATAGTTTAACTGATTATGTTTATATACCCTCACTAGTAAGTATACCCTGTTTGAAACTCGCGAACATCTCAATTAAAGGACAATTATGGCTATGCCTATAGCATTTAACTTTGCTCGTCAAATATTGCTGCAAGACCACGAGGAGTATACATATGCAATTTCATGTCTATACCACTGAAAATATTATCTGACTGAGTCAATATACATAGAAATATACATCTTAAATATATATATATATATATATATATATATATATATATATATATATATATATATATATATATATATATATATATATATATATCAATACAAGGTTAGATGAAAATGTGATCTTTCGCTAAGACAAGCCAAACAATGGTCGACATGTATATACCAGGATTTTTCCTTCTAGAATCGATATCTGTTTTCGTTCATTTTATATATTATTTTTTTATGGGAGCATGTTCTAATACGCGCCTTATTTACACGAGCCGACGAGGATTGATAATTTGACTAATTTGTCTTTTTAATTAATAGAATTAACCTACTTCCAACAATCTGAGATTACTGTCATCTGAAGCCTCTATTTTATCCATCGTAGAATTATAACGCTCTATATATATGGAAGTAATGGAATTGTCTTTTTAGTTTTCTTAACAAATTAAACTTTTATATTCCTTTCTTTTCGAAAAAAGGTATGTCTCAATTACGTGTCATTAGGGTATTTTGTATATAAGCAAACTACCCAAACTTCTGAGAGTCTTTTTGAATTGATATGACAATTTTGATTTGGATGTTGCGAACCCTTTCTGCACGCGTTCGTTCTTTTGATTTGGCAAAACAGGAAGCACGACAAATGGCAAAACTCGCACGGTGCCCGTTTGCAAAAACAGTGCAAACTGCTCTAATTCATTCTGTCACTTTCATTTGATCTCATCCGTGAGTCGGCCTCAACGGCCTTTGATTGTATCTGCGAATCGCAGATACAATCCATCGTGCGAGACCACTGTGAGACCGTCTGTTAGTCTGGAGCCAATCAGCGACAGCGATCAGCATCATGTGTGCCATTTTTATCTATATATTTTGCAAAACCATAGAAACTGTAGTTGGATTGATCACAGGCGGCCCAATCTCTGAAATTTATAATATTTAACGAAATAATTCAAAACAATAATATGAACAATATATGTAAAAAATGTATCTAACTTGTTAATAGAATGCATTTGTTGTGTTTCTGAGTCTAGTTGATGCGATTGCTTTACGTTTTCGTCGTACTTGAACGGTCGTCAATACTGACACTGAACGACATATGGGGTATAAGAACGAGAAGGCTGACTGCTTATCAACCTCGTACCCAGGCCTAGGGCCTTAGCGCGAGGTTGACCGCTTATCAGATATACTCTCCGACATTGAGTCCAATATCTCTCCTCAGAATTGAATCGTTGCATAGCAATAAAAATTTCACATCGCCTAATGGTATGCCAACGTTCCTCTTTCGAAAGAACATGGTTTGTTCGCCATTTGAGCAATTGGCCTTCTCGTTCGAAAACACTCAGCCAGAGGGGGCGGAGTTGGACTGGAATGCGGGGCTTTCAAAGCAACACGATATAAATAGAAATAAGACATACGGTTGAACGCAGTCAAGTTCAATAATTTAGAAAGATTCGTATGATTCGATCGGTTTATATGAATATGCGGACTTTACATGAATATGCGGACTTGCGGAGTATCGGAGTGCGGACTGCGGATTGCTAAATTTGCGAAAAGTTGAAAATGCGAAGTGTTGAATTTGTGGAGTGTTGAATTTGCAGAGTGTTGAAAATGCGAAGTGTTGAAAATAAGGAGTGTTGAAAATAAGGAGTGTCGAATACCTCGATGATAATCCAACCTCGTTCCCAGGGCTTTCGTGTGTCTCAAACCTAATTTGTGACAATGTACAAATCCTTCACAACGCTAACTCTAGCACATCTAACTTCCTTTTATTCCTCAAAGCCAGCAAGGAATTTGTCCTGTTTTCTTAATCTTTTCACAACACTTTCCATAATCAGACTCTTGCCAACAAATTCCCCTCGTAATGACGTCATGTGATCTTGGTCATGTAATGAAAGCTTTATATAAGCTAGACCGTGTATTATATTGTTAATTTAGTCTGTTTGTTGGTGACTTCGCAATAAAATTGAAATATCACACAAACTCATTCTTGTCTTGTTTTTAAAAATCCATATCTTGGGTTTCAAGATGCTTATCTTCGGATTATGTTTTGTGTCATATTTTAATTATTTTTAGCCGGTAACCTGTAAGTTTGTAAAGCGAAATGTGTTTATTTCATTCTGAGGACGCAATTTAGACCTTTATGCTTCTTCGTATAGACTGTAAGGGCCATAGGCTGTGCCAACAGTTGCAAATAAAACAGCACGATTTGCTGGCCGTTTTTTCATATGAACGTCCAAATCTGTGGAAAAAATTGACCTGATTTTAGAGCGTTATCATTTTTATATCCACTGCTAAAGATATTATTTTGTGTTGAATGAGTAAATGCTTATTACCATATCAAACAAGTGCATTCAAAATAGTAAAGACAGTAAATTAAAGCCTTCACTCCAGAGAGGTAGGTAATCTTTGAGTTAAGCCCTTTTCGAGTTAAGCCCCGACCACGCCCAAACCACACCCATTTTCGTCAGGGGCTTAACTCGAAGAAAGAAACACAACCAAAACACAACTTGGAAAGTTCGAGTTAAGCCCCGTGGAAAAAGGGGGTAGGTATTTTTCGAGTTAAGCCCTTCGAGTTAAGCCCTTTTCGAGTTAAGCCCCTGCCACGCCATTTCTCGCCGGGGGCTTAACTCGAAGTCAATTAACGATTTAATTATTTAAGCATTCGCGTTAAGCCCCGACATTTGCATGGTGGATGTAAACAAGAGACGCGTATATACTCGCAAAAATATTGGCAAATAAGGATCGAGGGAGAATGTAAAATTTCAGCATTTTAAGAAATATATTTTACTAAGATCTCTGTTGCTTTGCCTACAGTTTTATACAGACAATGATATCGTGAAATGACTACCTCCTCCGCAGGCCCTTTTCCGGGCACATTTGCGGGCGGTGGAAAGTTGCGGGCCACTTTTAGAAACGTAAATTTTCCGAACCTGCCTGAAATGCTCCCTAAGCGCCTGCGGAGGAGGTAAGTGAAATGAGATACCTTAGAAATGAGAAAACTCAATATGGATTTGCAACAGCTCATTCAGGGCGGCAATTACGGCTTTAAAAATAAATAATATATATACAGGGTGTATAAAAAAATGGTAATCGAACTTCAACGGGCTATTGTATCTGAACTCAGACTCCGGGATGAACGAGATGTTTTCATCTTTGGAAAGATCAGGCTTTTAGCTGTCGAATGATATATTTCTCCATGCCAAATGGATAACCACTATAAACAAGTACGAGTCCGATAAAAAATGCTAGTCAGAATCGCATATTTTCACCGTTAAGAGTCTGGAGAATGGGTCTAAAACCATTGAAAATTAAAAAAAAGTTAAAACATGCAATTTTTAAGTGAAAATACTAACGCAAAGACGAGAAAATTACGGTTAGAAAACTAGCTTGCCTCACGCCTGCTACGCAGTCTAGCCTCCATATGAACATGCCTAAGGTTTGCGTTTTGCAAGTGTCGCTATATTTTATTTATTTTTTAAAGCCGTAATTGCCGCCCTGAAGGAGCTGTAAGTTACGATTTTTGTTAGTACAAATCCTTATTGAGTTCCCTCATTTCACGATATCATTGTCTGTATAAAACTGTAGGCAAAGCAACAGAGATCTTAGTAAAATATATTTCTTAATTAGGATGCTGAAATTTTACATTCTTCCTCGATTTGCCAATATTTTTGCGAGTATACACGCCTCACTTGTTTACATCCACCAAATGTCAGAGCTTAAATCGTTAATTGACTTCGAGTTAAACCCCCGGCGAAAAAGGGCGTGGCAGGGGCTTGACTCGAAAAGGGCTTAACTCGAAGGGTTTCACTCGAAGTCGTTGAAAATATTTGACGCTTGAGTTAAGCCCTGAAATAGTTATAATAAGTCTCGGCTAAAAAATTCCCTTAAATAAGCTGCAGCCTAAATGAGTCACGAACAACTCGTATAAACAGTCAAGTTTCATTAAGTAACAGATCATTTTTTACTTAGCTTTTCTACCTCAGAGCTTATTACGAATAAATTTTGACCTCGTGGCTTTATTTCGTATAAAAGGTCAATTTATTCGTAATAAGCTCGGAGGTATAAAAGCTAGTCCAAAATAATCTGTAATAATTGTTCGCGACTCATTTAGGCTGCAGCTTATTTAAGCCGAGACGTAATGATAACTATTTCCAGCTACATAGTGGACGACTCAAATCATTGCTCTTTTACATGCCTCAAATGTCGGGGCTTAACTCGAGCATCGAATATTTTCAACGACTTCGAGTTAAGCCCCTCTTTTTTCACGGGACTTAACTCGAACTTTCCAAGTTGTGTTTCTTTCTTCGAGTTAAATTAAGCCCTTGACGAAAATGGGTGTGGTTTGGGCGTGGTCGGGGCTTAACTCGAAAACGGCTTAACTCGAAGGGCTTAACTCGAAGATTACCTACCTCACTCCAGACATTCGATAGCCGAAAAATGTTGCAAAGTCAAAAGGTGTTTGTGGAAACCTTTCAAATAATAGCGTCCATTGTACATCATGTTGTTCCACTTAGCTTGGCGGTTTCCTGAATTTTATTGGTGAAAAACTCGACGTCCATCGTGAGCTTAGAAAATTTTAGCCAAAAATTGCTCGAGATATATAGCGTATGGGTTATGTTACCTCCATAACAATGGCATCGTTCAGAAACCAGAAAATATTTTGGTGTTGAATGAGCATTAATATTTTGTACCGTGGATTGGTTTGTCCACTTGTTAGTTCTATTGGTATATATTTATATACATAATTGTGTGGCCTGGTCACACTTCATTGTAGTAATATTTAAAATATTCTCAAAGTTTTACCTTGTTTTCTCAAAAAAATAAATTGCGCCTGGCTAGACGGTAGAATTTCTTCACATTTTTAATTTCTAACGACTGCAATTTACAAGACAAGCAGTTGGAAAATGAAAGAACATGGGACGAAAGTCAGAAGATATCCAAAGCGAAGTAACAGGAAAAACAGACCGGATTACTTAGGGGGGGGGGGGGGGGAAAATAAAGGCTATAAGTATAGTAAGTATTATTATACTAATTAACATCATTAGCATATTAACATCAGTTAAGGAAGTATAGAGGTGTTAATTTTAGATAATAACACTGTTTTAGTTAAAGAACAGTCGAACAGTAACTTAAAGATAATATACATTAATAGTTTCATTTAGTTCAAGTTTAGCTTAGTCTTATTGTATTAAAAAAATGAAAAAAAGGATGTAGTGTTTGACCGAGCAAAAAAGGAGTGGAGCGAGGGTTATTAGACACGAGGACTAAGGGGAAAGGACTTCAGTGTTTTATAATACTAAATTACTGTGGTATATTACATACTATTAAATGAACTGTTGTATATTATAACCCACCTAGACTTGGATCAAGTCCGTCTCTCAAAAGTCCGCCTCGCGCTCGATCTCGTTGCTTCGCGATTCGGACTCTAGAGAGACGGACTTGATCCAAGTCTAACCCCCACCCTGATTGAATGTTTTTGAACTAGGGTGTCAGGTCGCTGAGACGCTTTCGTGGCAACGAACATTGGGTAAACGCTTCTGTCGAAAATGGATGTTGGATAAACAAAGTTCGTTTTGTTTCACGGTAATTGCTCAAATGGCAAACAAACCATGTTCTTTCGAAAGAGGAACGTAATTCATACTATTAATTAGGCGATGCAAAATTTTTATTGCTATGCAACGATTCTGAGAAGAGATATTGGACTCGATGTCGGAGAGTATATCTGATAAGTGGTCAGCCTTCTAGTTCTTTTACCCTGTGTCGTTCAGTGTCATTATTGACGCCCGTTCAAGTACGACGAAAACGTAAAGCAATCGCATCAACTAAACTCCGAAACACAACAAATACATGCTATTAACAAGTTAGAGATATATTTTTACATATATTGTTGATATTTGTAGACCAATCAGAGATTGGGCCGCCTTGTGCGTCAACGACCACCTTAACAACGAAATGAAAACCAGACTTGAGTACAAGCTCTATTAACCGTGGTACAAGTCATAACTGCTGCATGAATTGTCTAGTCTGATATTACACAAAATTATATCTATCAAAACTCATATATTTACCTGGAAAGCGTCGCTTGAAAATTATTTGTACTTTTACCCCCAACGACTAACTTCAACAGCTTCTGATCAATTTCAACACAAGCATTCACTTTTATAATCTCCTACAGAGCAGTAGACCTAGAGGCTCTGGGAACGAAGATGACGTCATACATATCAAACGCAGGAAGTCGTTCAGTACACCTGCAGGCTCATTTTCCAAGGAAATAAGTGGCAAGCTCATATACTGGCAAACTCCGCCGCGTGACGTGTCGCGCGCAATCATTATCGGTTTTAAACAGGGTTTTAAATGAACATTAATGTGAGGATTTTCGGTCATAATTTTGGATTTAAAACCACAAACATCCACAAAATAAATTAAATATATTGAGACTTATAGAATGGGGCAAAGTCTTAATGAGCCTTCTGACGTTCTGTGTTATCTGAATCTCGAACGGTCTCTGCCAGTGTATGTAGTGGCAATAATAAAAAAGCTTGATAAAAGGCACCAATGAAAATAAAAGGGCGTCATGATCCTACATTCGTGTCAACCTCCCTCCCCGCCACCAAATGTTTTCGGACCGAATACAATTATTTAGGCACAATTCCTCCGTAATTTCTCGCCAAAAATTCCATAAGTAATTGTCGCGTCGCGGGCAGAGAACGCAGTGTCAACCAAACGAATACACAGTTTAAATTGATTTAATATAAATGATACATTCTTGCTTAGTATTAAGCTACACTTGATTCTGTATATTCCTGTATATCCGTCGGTGAAAACTATAAATCAATAATACGCTACACTAAGCACACAGTTTGTAAATTCGTGCACGATAAGCTTGTAAATATAGTATGAAATAAATGAACTGACTTACGTCTATAACTCTATGAGATCGAAGTCCTTCAAATTCCCATAAATGATTTCCGTTGAAGTCTTGTAGAGTGTTCCCCGTGTTTTAATTTTTCCCCTCCCCAAAATCCCAAGATCTGGCCTATTTATCTACTCTAGTAGATCGATTAATTATGTATGTATTTAGTCAAGCATGCATTCTACATATTAGCATAACTTCACACTTCTCGCCCAAGGACGAAGTCCTTGCTACCTAACTTGTGTGTTGTTCAATAAGAGTATAAGTTCCCCAATTGGTCGCGTGTAAGTCTTCTTTTCTCCATGGCGGTATACCATCACCTCCGCTTTCCGAACTTTACCATCTTCGCTCTTGATTGCCTTTGTGATTCTTCCCATTGGCCAAAGGTTCCGGAGTGTGTCATCTTTCATGAGAACGATGTCACCAACTTCCAGATTAGGGTGACGTTTGTTCCATTTAGATCTGGATTGAAGCGATTGGAGGTATTCGTTCTTCCAGCGAATCCAAAACTGGTCGGCGAGGTATTGCGCTCTTCTCCAACGTCGACGAGAATACAGATCCTGATGAACAAAGATGCCAGGTGGAGGGGAAAGTGGTTTGATCTTCATCGTCAAAAGCATTGCGGGGGTTAATGGCTGTGGTTCCTCGATATCTGTTGGAAGTACAGCAATGGGACGGCAATTTACTATTCCCGTTATCTCTGCCATCAGTGTTACTAGAAGCTCATGTGTGAGTTGCGAAGATCCAATCTTGTGTAACATACCATCTAAGATGCGACGTATAGTTCCAATTTGTCGCTCCCATACTCCTCCAAAATGTGATGCGTGGGGTGGGTTAAAAATCCACTCGCAATCTTGTTCGGTGACGTATTTCTCGATATTCTTAAGGTCGGTTTCCTGTAGGACAGTATCTAGTTCGGACTTTCCTCCAATAAAGTTTGTCCCTTGATCGCATCTCAGGATCGACACTGGACCACGAATTGAGAGGAAACGTCGTAGAGCACAGATAAATGAGCTAGCATCCATCGTTTCTATAACCTCGATGTGAATCGCACGGCTATTTAGACAAGTGAAGACGAGTCCCCATCGTTTAGAGTTTGCCGCCCCGCCTCTCAGTTTTCGGGTGTGTATGATCCATGGACCAAATACGTCAAAACCAACGTTGGTGAACGGAGGTGGAGTTTCCAATCTATCAGGTGGCAAATCTGCCATGTGCTGTGTAAGGGTCTTCCCTCGTAGCTTTCTACATGTTACGCAGGCGTTCAACGATTTCGATACCATACGACTGGCTCCGACGATCCAATAGCCGGCCTGACGGATCGCCCCACTGGTAATCTGTCGACCTTGATGATAAACCTTTTCGTGGTGGTGGGTAATTACCAGGTGTGAAAGGTGGTGTCCTTTGGGTAGGATAGCTGGATGTTTCTCGACAAAGTCTTGGTTTGAGCGACGAAGGCGTCCTCCGACTCTTAAAACACCACAATCGTCAAGGAAGGGATCTAGACGATACAAGTTTGATTTCTTCAGGTCGTTCTTGGTCTTTTCGTCCAGCTCAGTACTGTGAAGCGTAGCTATCTCGGTGGCAAAGTTTTCACTTTGGACCGTTTTGATCAACACTGTTTCTGCTTGCTTCAGCTCGGCCGATGATGGTAATCGAGGGAGTTGGATAGGTTGCTGACGATTAAGGGGCTTAGGAGGTTGGTGTGGACCTTCGACGTTCTCTTTCGCGAGAGTTTTCCGCCTGTTCTTAAATTCTCTCACTTTAACAATCAGGTTTGCTAAGGCCCGACGTAGAACTGACCACTTGGAGAAACGCATAAATCTGACCGATTTTAAAGTTGTATCTTTTGTCATACTCGTGATGTGGATAGCAACCTGTGGTCTGACTTCTGGGTCGTCCTCGCATAACATTGATTTTTCATTGTTGTCCAGGGTAGCAGTTACATCGCTTAGGAACTTGGGGCCTTCAAACCAGCATGATTCCATCAGGACATTCGCGGATGTACATCTCGTGGCGAGGTCTGCTGGGTTATCGGTTGTTTCGATGTATCTCCATTGGGATGGTTCAGATACCTTTCGGATAATTTGGACCCTGTTAGCCACATAGACGTAAAATCGCCGACTTTCATTCTGGATGTAGCCCAAGATCACCTTTGAGTCGGTGTAAAAAATTACTTCATCAATGGTCAAGGATTTAAGTTCTTTGATTGTTCGTTCGACAGCCTGAGTTGCTAATACCGCAGCACAAAGTTCCAATCGTGGGATAGTTGTTGCTTGTTTCGGTGCTAGTTTCCCTTTTGCAAACACGAGTGACACGTTCACTTCTTCTCGTACGTTAGTCTGCTTCAGGTAAACGACAGCACCGACGGCCTCCTCACTTGCATCCGAGAACGCATGTAATTCGTTTCGAATAACGTTTCCAAAATCTGCGGCGTGATAGCATCTTGGAATGTGAACGTTTTCCAGATCAACAAGACAATTACACCAACATTGCCATTCTCTACTTAACTTTCCAGGAAGTGGGTCATTCCATCCGAGAAGTGTATCTTCCGTACGGTCTTTGTTTCCCATAGCAACCAGCTTTCGGAGAATAAGTTTACCCTTTAGAGTGACTGGTGTTGCAAGCCCAAGTGGATCATAGACCGAGTTGACGACTGCTAGGACTCCTCGACGTGTGTATGGCTTCTCAGACGGAGATACTCGATATGCAAAGGTATCATCTTGCAGACTCCAGTACATTCCCAAAGATCGTTGAACTGGTAGAGGCTCGTTATATAGGTCCAAATCTTTAATGTTTGCGACACGGTCTTGCTGGGGTAGCGCTTCCATTACTGCGATTGAGTTCGACACGATTTTATGGAGTCGTAGATTTGCTTCGGCAAGCATGGCTTGAGTGTTCTTTACCAAATCTACGGCCTCGTTCACGGTAGGAAGAGATGTCAGCCCGTCATCCACATAAAAGTTGTCTTTGACGAACATCTTCGCCTCGTGACCATACTTCTCCTCGCCCTCGTTTGCTGTTTTCCTCAAGCCATAAGTAGCAATTGCAGGGCTGCACGTATTACCAAATAAATGAACAACCATGTGGTAATCGATGATTTCTTTAGTATGGTCATTTTGGTCGAACCAGAGGAAGCGTAACGTGTCTCTGTCTTTCGGAGTGACATGAAAACAATGAAACATCTGTTCTATATCACACATTATTGCAATGTTCTCTAGACGAAAACGGATAAAAACTCCATGTAGACTGTTCAGAACATCAGGACCAGGGAGCAATTCTTTGTTCAATGATACTCCTTCGAACTCAGCAGACGAGTCAAAGACCACACGGATTTGGGTTGGTTTTTTAGGGTGATAAACCCCAAAGTGAGGTAGGTACCAAATTTTTCGACGTTCATCTCCGTCATTGCTGCGATATAAATTTCCAGATTATGACGCTGGTACGGCATGCCCTCGTGCTAGGAGCTTGTTCATAAATTCGAAATAATCCTTCTTCAATTGAGGCCTCCTGGCGAAGGAGCGAAGTAAATTATTAAGTCGACTAACAGCTTGCTCTCGATTATCCGGTAAACATACATCAGGAGATCGAAACGGTAATGGCATCTCCCAGTTCCCCAACTCGTTTTTGTGTATTCCCTTCGCCATAATCTCCAGGAATCTTCGATCGTCTACAGAAAGTGTTGGTTCGTTATCGTAAGCGGTTGTGTGAAATATGTCCTGCACAGTCTCTGGTCCTTGGAATTCTTCCTTTAGAACGAATTTATTCGGACATTGAGTAAATTCGTGTCGTATAACGTTCCCATGGGTGGAATGTTGACAATCACTTCCGTTCTCATATTTACCGTCTAAGGCACGCTTGGTGAAAATAGTGGTGCGATGAGTTGAGACATGAACTGCCCCATCGAGGCGATCTAAACATACTTGACCACAAACAGTCCAACCAATAGATAATTTCTGAGCCCACGGAGCGCCTCTCGGACCATTTCTGAACTCTCTAACTTTCAGAAGCTCTGGGGCGTCGCGTCCAATCAGGATGGATATTTCCGCCTTTGAGTCGAACGGTGGGATTTCTTTGGCGAGTTCTTGAAGGTGGGGAAATCGCGATACTAATTCAGGTGTTGGAATTTCCCTTTTATCTTGTGGAATGTGGTTACACTCGATCAAAGTGGGCAACTTCGACGATTTACCATCCACCGACGTTGCTATCACTCCAGGTACACGGCGTCCGTATTTCACCTCTTTGGAAACACTGCAGGTAGATAAGAAATATTTTTCTTTTTTACTGTTAATACCCAGTTTATTTGCCAAATCAGGAGTAATCATCGAAGCGTTACTTTGTTCATCCACTAACGCATATACTCTATGGATCTGATCGGGTTTGTCTTGAAGAGAAATGTCCATGAGAACAATTTTGCTGCATGAGAGTCCACCCCTTTTGCTATCGCACAATTTAGTACAGGTTGCGCCAACCTCCTCGCCATCATTTTTGTTGTCTACGTTCTCCCTCTTGTCTCTGTGGAGCAATACCAAGTGGCGATCGCTGTCACACTTCTTACATTTGATTGTAGCTTTGCAGTTTCTGGCGAGGTGTTTATCTTCGAGACATCGGAAACAGAGTCCAGACTTTTTCAGCCATTCTATTTTCTCTTGCAGCGTTTTCTTTTCGAAGACTTTACATTCAATTAGGGTGTGGCCTTTACTATCATGGAAAGAACAATGTTTCTGATTTGGGTTGCCAGTATTCTCCATTTCAACATCTCCTTTCAGAACTGTGTCCTCTTCGAACGGGTTTCCGAAACTGGATTTCTTCCTTTCGTTTCTTTGGACATCCTTAATCACAACATTTGGATGATTTTTTATTCTTGCCTGCCTTTCCACCAGAGTAGCAAAGATATGAAAGGTTGGGTAAGCATCATAGTTCTCCAAAGCGTAGTCCACGACCTGCTTTTCCCATTTGGTTCGGAGAGATGCTGGTAATTTTCGAAGGATTGGCTGAATAACATTCGCGTAGTTTAAACATCTCAAACCAGGCAATTGTCCTATCTGATAGTCTACGTCAGCACACAAATCGGCAAACTCCTGCAGTTTCTTCTTGTCTTTATCCTCGAATTTAGCTGCATCTCGCAACCGTCCCAATAAGGCGTGTGAAATCGCGGCTGAGTTGCCAAAACGTCTCTCGAGCTCCACCCATACTTCTTTCAGCAGCTTATGTGGATTGTTGTGTTGACGTTTTCGAAAGTTATCGACCAGGTTCTGTGGTGCCCCTTTCGTATACTTATGCAGGTAATTTATCTCTTGTTCCGGTGAAATATCAGCATCACGGATCATTGCCTCGAACGAATTCTTCCATGGGTGGAACATTGTTACGTCACCACTAAAGGTATCGGGATGACACTTCGGTAAGCTTTGACGTACGAGACTAGCTGCCAGTTGTTGATTTGTAGCTGCGATAGCTTCCATACTTTGCTGCACCGGCAGTATTTCCGCTTCCCGTTCCGTTCCGTTTTTTCCCAAAAAATCGTCTTTGAGCTGTGGTACAATATAATTGTCTGCTGCTTTGCTCTTCCGACCAAATATCACGTCTCGATCTAGTTGGATTGTTTCGTCTTGTTCTGGCCCTTTCCGGTGTCGAATTGCTTCATGTCGTTGATCGTACACCCAAGCGCTAGTTCGTTCACTGTTGTTGAGTTTCCCATCTCCCTCAGATAATTCTACATCAGACTGGGCAACTGATTTTCCCTCTTCCTGCTGAATAGATTGTTCGATTGCAGTCAATTTAGCGTTCGCCACAGCTGTTAGTTTCTTTGCCTTGAGCACAGCGATTTCATGATCGTACCTCGCCTTTGCTTCCGTCTTTCTCCGTTCTTCGTCGGCTTCGAACTGTCTCCTTGCAATTTCTTTCTCGGCGATTAACAAGTCGTACTCCGCTTGCCGCTCTGCAGCGGCTACTTCTGCGATGGCTTTCATTCTTCTCGCTGAACTCGAAGACGAAATTCTCGATACCGTTTTACCGGATCGACCCAAACTTTTCGAACCGTTTGCCAAAATATCCTCTTTCTTTTCCTCGTTGTATTTACTAATGGATTTTGCAATTGCATCTCCGGCGAGTTTCATCAATTTATTCCCGGTTGCACGAATCTCTGGTGCCACCTCGTCCGATACACCCCAACGGTCTTTCATAAAAATGTTTCCATATTAGTCACGGCGTCTTGGTATGGCGTAATTATCGTCTCTAATGATCCCAATGCTGCTCCGAGTGACGACGTGTCAAACGCATTGTTCACTGTATCAATAGTCTTTTGTACTCTAATTGACTCCTTCCTGAACGCCGCTACTTTAGTGTCGAGGATATTACAATATCCTTTGTACGTGGGCAGTCTTTCGCGAGCTTCGTCAGGACTCGTTGGTTTCGCCGCTCCTAGCTGTGTCTCAACGTTGAATTCAGATTCCCCAAACTGCGATCGAGAGGCCCCCGATTCTCCCGTTCTTCTAGACATATTGACCCCGACAGTAACTGTATGTTACAAGTTCTTTTACCGCGTTTGGTCCCCGGTTATTTAGTAACTCAATGCTCGATCGTCATTAGGAGACTTTTCACTGTCGCGTCGCGGGCAGAGAACGCAGTGTCAACCAAACGAATACACAGTTTAAATTGATTTAATATAAATGATACATTCTTGCTTAGTATTAAGCTACACTTGATTCTGTATATTCCTGTATATCCGTCGGTGAAAACTATAAATCAATAATACGCTACACTAAGCACACAGTTTGTAAATTTGTGCACGATAAGCTTGTAAATATAGTATGAAATAAATGAACTGACTTACGTCTATAACTCTATGAGATCGAAGTCCTTCAAATTCCCATAAATGATTTCCGTTGAAGTCTTGTAGAGTGTTCCCCGTGTTTTAATTTTTCCCCTCCCCAAAATCCCAAGATCTGGCCTATTTATCTACTCTAGTAGATCGATTAATTATGTATGTATTTAGTCAAGCATGCATTCTACATATTAGCATAACTTCACAGTAATGCTTTCCGTTCCACCTTTCGCCAAATGGATGACAATTTTGCCGAATTCCTGACGACTGGGGGGTGGAACACCCCCACACACATCCTCGAACGACGTTTAATTCTGTCTGTTGTAAAAGTTTTGTGCACCCGATACACCCATAGTCTGCACCCGCACTGCACCCACAAAGTTGAAAATGCAAAAGGCAAGGGGTGCACTTGCACCCGCTGCACCCGTAGTTCCGGCATCCCTGGGGTGAATAGGTTTTCGGATCGTCGGATTCCACCGAAAAAAATTGTTCGGATTTCGGATTTGGCGAACATTTTACACGGAATTGCGGATCTTATTAATACAGCGGATTGCAGATTTATCTAATATTTTGGCTCGGATTGAGGATTTTGCTTGCAATTTAGTTCGGATCCTGGATTAGTCATAGTAGAGCTTTTAGCGGATCCAAATTTAGACAAGACCATTGTCGGACGGCGGATTTTGCTTCAAATTTGGCTGATCGGCGGC